CGCAACTTTTAACTACCCATGAACCTCCAAGTACAGGCTTTAGGGTTGGCTTAGGGTTTCAGGGCTTAGGGCTTAGGATTCTTTGGGTTTGGCGTTTAGGGCCTTGAGGTTAGTTTGGGGTTTGGGGGTTAAGGTTCTTCGGGTTTCGTGTTTAGAGATTTAGGATCTTACACAGATTAGCTACAAACTACATCATGTGAGCTTTTAACATATATATATGTATCTATACACACACATTGGTATTCCCAGCACAAAAGCACCAACACCCCTGATTACCTTATTCGAACGTAAGGCCTACATCCTGTGGAACCCCAAAAGTATAAACCAACATTAAGCCTATCACACTTCAAACAATGCAAGGTTACCGACACTACACTCACAAAAACCCTAACTTACACCCTAAACGCCCTAAGTCTTAAACCCTGAACCCCGAAGACCCTAAACCCCAAAACCCCAAAACCCCTAAACCCAAAGTTCCTCAACCGGAAACCCCAAAACCCCTGAACCTCAAGTTCCTCAACCCGAAAAAGTAAACCCCCCAAACCCCAAAAACCCCAATTTCCTCAACCCTAAACCCTAAAACCCCAAGCCCTAAAACCCTAAAGCCCTAAACCCTAAACCCTAAAACCCTAAAACCCTAAAACCCTAAAGCCCTAAACCCTGAACCCTAAAGCCCTAAACCCTAAAAGATTAAGGCCCCATAGGAAAACTCTAAACCCCTAAACCCTAGAAACCCTAAAGCCTTAAACCCGGAAGGCTTACCCTAAACCCTAGACCCTAAAGCCCAAAACCCTAAAAGCTAAAACCCTAAACCCTAAAACCCTACAGCCCTAAACCCTAAACCCTAAGCCCTAAACCCTAAAACCCTAAAACCTAAAACCCTAAACCCTTAACCCAAAAAGCCCTAAACCCTAAACCCTAAAATATTCAAGGCCCCTAGGAACACCCTAAAACCCGGAAAGCTTATGGGGCAAAAGTGCGTACATCGGTTCCAGGAGTCGCCGGTCCGCCTGATTTTTTCGCAGCTTCTGGCGTTCTGAAGCTTTGTAGGGCCCTTAGGGACTAGGGTTTCGGGCTTAGAGCTTATAGGGTTTAGGGTTTAGGGCTTAGGGGTTAGGGCTTATAGGGTTTGGGGTTTCGGGCTTAGGGGTTAGGGCTTATAGGGTTTAGGGTTTAGGGTTTAGGGTTTAGGGCTTAGGGCTTAGGGTTTAGGGTTTAGGGCTTAGGGTTATTTAAGGGTTTAGGGTTTAGGGATATTTAGGGTTATTGAGGGTTTAGGGCTTATTGGTTTAGGGTTGAGGGTCCAGGGTTTGGGGTTTAGGGCTTTGGGTTTAGGGCTTTGGGGCTTAAGGCTTCGGGCTTAGGGTTTAAGGGGGGTTTGAACATAGGATCCTTTTGACAGGTTCTCTCAGGAGGATGTGGGGTGGCAAAAGGGTTTAGGATTGCTTCAAGCTTGGGTTATTGTTTTTCTGCGAAGGGTATTATTGCTTAAACATTTTTAGGTTCCGTACTAAAGTTACTAAAGGTTGTCGGTTATCTATAATTTCGTGTGTTTCAAAGGGTTGGCCTTCTGGGTTAAGACTTGCCGGCTTTGTGGGTTTTAGGATTTGGGTTCACTTCTGTTAACATTTTTGGAAATGGGGCAATGAGCAAAGCAGGATACACAATCCTAAACGCAACGCCATGAGCATTACAGAAGTAGTTAGAACCCTAACCCAAAACCCAAAAACCCTTAACCCCCAAACCCCCAAAAGACCATCAAAACCCGAACAAAAACCCTTGATCCCATAAGCCCCAAACCTAAAGACTCTTAAAAACAAAAGCACTTAGTACAACAGGAACTGTACTCCCCCTCTTATCAGATGTAATCACACGAGATCTGCTGCTGATACTACGAAGGAAGAGTGACACAACAAAACGAACCTAACCCAAAACTCAAAACCCTAAAACCCCAAACCCCAACAAAAACCCTCAACACCCGAGCAAAAAGCGTAAATCCCATAAACCCCAAACCCCAAAACTCTTAAAAAAACAAAAAAAACCCAAAACATCCACCAACCCAAAAACCCTAAACCCAAAATCTCAAAACCCCAAAGCCACCTCACCGGGTTCGAAGAGTTTGGCATCGGTGTAGTAGTCGCCATTCAAAGGCTCCTTGTGGCTTAGGGGGTCTAGGGTTTAGGGTTTAGGGCTCTGGGGCTTAGGGTTTAGGGTTTAGGGTTTAGGGTCTAGGGTTTAGGGTCTAGGTCTAGGGTTTACTGGTTTAGGGTCTAGGGTTAGTGTTTAGGGTTCTTGAGCTGTTGTCTTCTTCTCTTCCCGTTGTTTGTAAGGTTGGGTGTTGAGGATTGAGGGTTCGTGGTGGGTGGGTAGGTGAGAAGATCAGGGTCGGGTTGAGAGTGATCAAAGGGTGTCTTCTGGCGTTCAGGGCTCGGGGCTTTAGGGTTTAGGGGCTTAGGGATTTAGGGTTTTGGTGTTAGGGGGTTTGGGGGTTTTGGGGCTGGCTAGGGTTGTGAAGTGTTGATGAAGTCTTGAAAGGTGTTGTAATCGAGTCTGGAGAAACTGAAAGTTTGGGATCAGGGTCTGCTGTTGATTAGCAAGGGGCTGTTCGGGACATGCATGCAAACAGAATAAGAAGAAGGTTTGGGGTTTAGGGTTCTGGCTACTGCATGCATATATAGGGACCTTAATAATTAGAATAGGGTTTCGGGGTATATCGTACCATAACTATAATAAGGAACAACCAGTTTAGTACAGGTCATTATTTAGGCCCCTACAGTAGTTCTCAACGGAAAGGTATATTGGGCTCTTTGGGTTGATCTTCAGGAGCTTGAAGACGCTTTGGGGTATGTTCTACGATATTGATGATAAGGAAGCCTCGGGATTAAGTAGTACCAAGTCAAGCCTAAACCCTGAACCCCAAAACCCCAAAACCACAAACCCTAAACCTTAGAGCTCACGCCAAGGCACCCACCCCCAAGCCTCAAACCCCGAAGTTCTCAAACCTTTAAATCTGGAGCACCCCCCCAGCTTCGACGACGTGCTGTTGTGTGTTCCTTGCTATGACATGTTGAACGCAACTCCCTTCGAAACGTAGGTTTCGGAATTAGATTCGACTCGACTTAGATGTGATCCTGAACCAATACCGCACACCGGCAAAATGGTGAACAAACGACACAAGAGTTTGACATTTAAGCCAACCCCTAAGGTGAAAGCCCGAAATCACTACAGCCCGGAAAGCCCTCAACCCCTAAGCCTAAATCCCGAAACCCTAAACCCTAAATCCGTAAACCGTAAATCCTAAAACCCAAGACGCCTGAACCCCTATATAAGTCTAAGCTCTTGCATCTTGCTCCGGGAAGGCATAAACAAACACAAGGTCGAAGACGACAACTCTGCCCGGAAACTAAAAAAACTTAGACCCTAATGTAGGGGCCTTGATAATTAGAACAGGGTTTCGGGGTATACTATACTATAACTAGACTAGGGAATCTCCAAAATAGTATTGGTAATTATTTAGGCGCCTATGACCCCAAATCCCAAACCCTAAACCCGGAAGCTAAGCACAAACTGAGGACTTGCGGGCTTCAGGGCGCCAGGGTCGAAGGGTGAAGTCTGTGAGGGATAGGGTTTATAAGGTTTAGGGTTTAGGGTTTATGGCGTAGGGTTTAGAGTCTGCGAAAGAGGGGTGCAGACGGGGTTTCAGGGTTTGGGCTTTCAGGGTTTAGGGTTTAAGGAGCCAGGGTTTTAGCTTTCAGGATTTGGGGTTTCGGGTTTCAGGAGTCAAACCAGAAAAGCCAACACTTTGAGCTCAGAAGCTCTCAAGCTAAAGCCCTTCTCCCTGTCAGGGTTTAGTTTTTGTTTTCAGTGCCTAAGGCCTAAGCCCTAAATCCTAAACCCTAAAAAGCCTGGATAACTCTAAAGCCGAGGTGCATTTACCAGGTCGTAACCGAGCACGCCTTCGGGAAGGGAGAGGAGATCTCTTGGAGTTAAGGGTCTTTTAGGGCTTAGGGCTTTTTGGGGTTTCGGGCTTTGGGCTTTTAGGGTTTAGGATTTAGGGTTTAGAGCATTTAGGGTGTAGGGCTTTGGGCTTTTAGGGTTTAGGGCTTTGGGCGTTTAGGGCGTAGGGTCTTGGGTTCAGGGTTCAGGCTTTTGGGCTTTTAGGGTTTAGGCTTTTGGGCTTTTAGGGCATAGGCTCTTGGGCTTTGAGGGTTGAGGGTCTTCAAAGCCTCAGGAAACCAAACCCCCCTGCATCCAAGGACATATATCTTTCGAGAACTGCAGACGGCTCCAAAGAGGGTTTAGGGTTTAGGGTTTAGGGTTCAGGGTTTTGCGCGTTTAGGGTTTAGGGTAACCATCGCAGCAGTATCAAGCGAGAGTCAGAACATGGGAGCCTGGGGCAATTCAAACAGCGTCTCCGTCACCGTCGTACAACAACTCACAGTGGACGCCATCCCAGACCCCCGGGAGGATCCAGAAAGTAGATCCCCTAAGGAAGTTCCTATAAAGTACCCTTTAGTAATTAGGGTCCCAAATTTAGGGGATCTACTTTTTAGATCCTCCCGGGGATCTGGGATATAGTAAGAATACTGCACTCGAACACGTCTATGTTGTTTCAACTGTTCCAACTAACCACTACCAACCGGTCAGAACCTCCAAATCCTTTAGTTCAGTATCCACTGATCAGACATTTGAAAACAGGGCGTTGACAATTTCAACAGTGCTTGGGGGGATGATGTTTTAGTATATTGCTATAAAAACGGTACATATACTCTCTCTCACGCTGCAAGGAAGGTCTCGCAATGCGTCGAAGGGCAGTCGTAGACCGGTGTCTTCAAGACACATGCCACGTAATGGGCACCCCGCACTCTGGAAATGTTAAAAAGGTACCGAAGTCAGCAGAAAGGGAAGGAATAGACTAGACTGGAGTAGAAAACAACAGCTCTCGCCAAGCGACCACTGCCCGACGTTACCGTCCCATGTGCGGCTGGCCACGACGGCACTCCCGGTCCGGAAGTCTTCGACTCCGCGAGCTTGTTGAGCTTGTCCTTCTGAGCCAAGAGGGGAATGAGCAATTTCCCGATCCCGTCGCAGACGGCCATCACATCTTGCATGATGAAGGCCAAAAAGCCAGACCCGACAGCGTGGGCCACACCCGGCCTGGGGGACGGGTCACTCTTATAAGCCTCTGCGGCTTCCTTGATGAATGCACCCTTGCTGGTGAGGTCCGCAGGGTTGCCATGAGCCGCAGCATAAACCGATGGGTGCCAAGACGTCGTGGACGAACGCCACTTCCTTCATGCTTCTGTAGGCCTCGTCTGCGATGTTTACGCCACCAAACAGGATGTCAAGGGGTTGCAGAAGCTTTGTCAAGTCTTCAATCTTTGTCGGCTCGGAGGTCCGGGTCAGCAACTGAGCAGCCTTGAGGCATGTGTGGTGTTGTTTCTCATCGAGCGAGAACACATCTGGGAGTGTGTTCGCGGGGCTCGAGTAGAGGGCAGAGGAACTCAGTCGTTCGATGAGTTCCCTGGATGCCCATGACAGCATAATGGCATCGGGGTTCACCTGGTCCCCAAGCTCAAAACTCCTACGAAACCCTGAAAAAAGATTCTAAACCCCCGAGACCCCGACGCCTCGACCTCAAAAGCCACCCTCAGCCAAGAATCCTTAACTCCCTGGCAGAAGCCCGCACCCTAAACACTAGAGCCCCACACACCCTAAAACCCTAAACCCTAAACTTCGGGTTTAGGGTTTATAGGGTCTCTAAACTTAGGGTTTCGGGTTTCGCCCTAAATGCGCGAGCCCCACTATAGAGCCCCATACTCCCGAATCCCAGAGGTTCGAAAGGCCCCACAAGTTAAACCCAAACTGCCCTCTATCCCTAAGGGTCCATGTACCCAAAATAGATATACATTGGCCTTAAAGTAGTCCCTATATAAGTACTTTGGGGCCAATTTATATACTATTGGGTACATGGACCCTCAGGGTATGCGTTTAGGGTTTAGGGTTCAGGGTTCAGGGTTTAGGGTCTTAGGGTTTAGGGCGCTGTTATACCCCAAATACCCACTATCAAGGACCATAACCCTGAACCCTACAAACCCTAAAACCTAAACCTTATAAACCCTAAAACCTTAAACCCTGAACCCTAAACCCTAACCCCTAAACCTTAGACCCTAAACCGTAAACATTAAACTCTAAACCCTAAACCTTAAACCCTGAACCCTAAACCTTAAACCTTAACCCTTAAAAGCCCCGAACATCCTCATCCCCAGGCCGGAACCCTAAACTCCCGGAGGGCAAACATAGAACCCTAGGGTTTAGGTCTTAGGGGTTTAGGGTTTTAGGGTTTAGGGTTTTAGGGTTTTAGGGTTTAGAGTTTAAGGTGTAGGGTTTAGGGTTTAGGGTTTAGAGTTTAAGGTTTAGGGTTTAGGGTTTAGGGCTTTGAGTTTAAGGTTTAGGGTTTA